GAAAGAGTTCATCACTCTATCCCAGAGGGCCTTCATTACATTACTACTTGAGAACCCAGGAAAAATTTCCCTTTCATCCCTGTACCAGCAATAACTGAATAGCTTTGCTGGTCTCTTCAGTAACATTTATGGCATGCATATAGCAAATATAGGGAATTTCATAGCATAAAATAAAATCACATTATGCCTTTATTTTCCTACTTGTTCTTTCTTTTCCTGTGCCTCAATTTCCTCACCTCCACAAACTGACTGTATCTTTTTGCTGTATGTACATTTATAAACAATCTTATCCTTTCTTTGGAAACAAAGTGAGACTTACATTAGTAAAAACAAATTTCCTCAACTCATATTCAATAGGCCATTCTGCTTCTTTCTAGCTATTGGGCCTGAAACAGATTCTCCAATCTTTCTGAGTCTCAGTATCCTTATCTGCAAAGTGAGGATAATAATCTCTCTCTCTCAAAGCATTAGTGTGAGGATTGAATGAATGAACAAATCCAACGCATTTAACACTCTAGTGTTCAGTTAGTCTGAACTATTCGTTATATGTGGAGAGTAGGAGACTGCGAAAAAAGAAATATTGAAAATACTAAGAGGAAAATGATGAAACCAGAAATCAGAACAGGTCTGTTAGACTCTGAAACTCTGCTCTCAATCATAATGCAGTTAATCTTTAGAAAAGGATCTCAATCTGACTTTACAAAATAATTGCTTATGTAGCTTTCTAATTGTACAGATGCTTAAGCCACTACCTATGCCAGTGTAACATGAATTTTTGAGTGTGGAATCAGCATATGTGTATTTAAATATGTCCCTCCCACCCACCCTCCAACCATTCCCCCTGCCAAAGGCCAGGAACCATCACACTTCCTGTAGAAAAGAAATCATGCTCTTCAACACTTCTATGAAAAGGCCCATTGGTCCTACTAAAAGTTTTGGCTTTCAGATCCCCAGATATAATTGTTTTTTAAAGCATGTACAACGTAAAGAAGTTAAAAGTAAATAAAACTGTGAGCAGATACCCTGAGTAGGTGATTTTGATGGGAATAATGTTGAGTACCTTGACAGACAACTAAATCAGAAGCAATAAGCAATGGACCCCTATGGGCATAAGAAATAAGTTTGATTAACCTACTCCCATCTGTCAAAGTCTACTTTATCACAGAAAATCAAAGAGAAGAAAAAAAGACCCCAAACAATGGAATATTGTGAAATAAAATTCATTTATCTATATCCTGCAAACAACATACTGAAATTCATTAAAAGGATAAGCCAAAGAATTGAGATGATTACTTTTCGAGCCTACCTTGCCATATTTCAAGAAAGAAATAATCATCAGCAGAAATGATATAGAATTTGTCTTTTCTGAAAGACCATACCCATTGATTTTGCCTAATATTTTAGGATTTGTTAAACCCATAGCTTTGGGTATGGTGTATTGCATATTGGACAAAACAACAGCAACTACTCAAAGGTCACTTACCTTTTGATTGGAAGCAAGTTAATGTGCAGGCTTTCTGACTCTCCCTCACTTCCCTGGTACTAGTATACCTAAAATTTAGATGATTTACCCAGAAGAAGCTAATAGCGCATGCAAAACTTCCCGAGTAAAATAAGAATTTTAGAAAAGGAGATTAGACAATGAATAGATGACGAGTAACAACAGATTCAGTGGAAAAAAATACATAAAATAAGGGGAGAATAAAGTCTGAAGTTTACTACCCTTCTAGTTTTGGAGATACAAACAAACAAACAAACAAACAAACAAACATAGCCCAAGCTGCACTCTATTTCAAGAACTTTCTTCAGGCAAGGGGATGAGTAGAGTCAAAGGATGAAATGAATTCCTAATCCTTCTTAGGTAATGACAATAGGTGGGGATCCAAGTTGTTCCAAAAAGGACCATAGCAGGTTAACAGAAATAACTATCAGAGACGTTTGCCTCACTTTGGTTCAAAAGCCTATTTGACAAAAATGGACTGAGTAATTCTGCCTTATCCCTGGATGATATGGCATGAGTACTAAAGGAACCTGTATAATAAGAATAAAGAGAAATCCAAATAAAAACACACAAACTTAGAAACATACGCAAAAACAAAGTCAGACACCTGCCCATACATCCTACACTGTGGCTCTATTTTAGAATCTTATGATAGAATGAACACACAGCATTCAGGGTTTCTCAAGCAGCTAGTCATGAAAGTTAGGAGGAAGACCCACTCCTCGACCTCTAATTTCTTCCCTTCTATCTTTATTTCTTGCTTTGTAACATACTATTGCCAGGGGGCAGAGGGGGCAGATAAAATATATTGGAGTCTGTAGATTTAAAATGCTCAACTTCTGATATAGGGACTAATAGTGCAAATGAGAGAAAATATCAATAATTTTGATACTGAGTAATTTTTGCTTGATTCTAACAGGTCGCTGAAGCTGTTTATGGAAGTCATTTTTGACTTGGGTAGCCTTGGTGGGGTAGCCAGGGGAATATTCAGGGAAGTATTTTCAATGTTTATGGAACAGATCTTTTGATTATTTGGCTAGAGTCATCCCTTCAATCTTTTTTTGAGTTCTTTTTACCTCCCAACATGAGAAAAACAAACTATCTTTCCTTTATTGTTTCACTTAGAGGTGTAAATGAGGTAAAACTATATTATATAAGAAAAAAATGAATAAAATTAAAACTAAAGTAGTTAAAAAAAAAAAGAAAAGAGAAAAGCATAAGTGATACAAGGTAATAGATTATACCTTCAGTAAGGCAACTAAAGTCAGTAATCGCCTAGAAGCTGACTGGGTGCAGTTTGAGTCCAAGCCCAGGGGCTTCTTTTCACTGGACTGAAGTGGTTATCTACCTAATAATTACAAGAAATTAGGCAGAAAGAAGCTACTTAATTTTCTAGCCTCATGTAGTAGTTGGTTAGTTCAAGTGTACAACATCTATAAATTACTCCAAACTTATCCTTTCTCTAATTTACTCTAATTCTAAGCTACGAACACAATTATATTACTCTCTATTGATCTCTAATTCCTAGGTTAGGTTCTCATCAACAAAATAGCCACAAAGTATAAAATGGGAAAGAAGAATAGTAACAGGTTTTCACAACATCTAAGTATCCCCAGCTATTTTATAATGTACAGCTTTGAGATGAAAATACTAACAATTTTATCAGCATGCTTTTTACATATCTAATGAAGCTAAACTTTGGCATACTATCTGGCATTTTAATCACAGTGTGGCTTATTATGATTATTTATCAGTAGATGTGCAGTTCAGGAATGACTATATAATGTAATGATGGGATCCCTGGGTGGCTTAGCAGTTTAGTGCCTGCCTTCAGCCCAGGGCATGATCCTGGAGTCCTGGGATCGAGTCCCACATCAGGCTCCCTGATGGAGCCTGCTTCTCCCTCTGCCTGTGTCTTGCCTCTCTCTCTCTATCTCTCTCTCTCTGTGTGTCTCTCATGAATAAGTAAATAAAATCTTAAAAAAAAAATAAAAATAAAAAATAAATGTAATGAAATAAGAGCATTTTTAACAAACATGCCAGAATTTCCATATTCAGTTAAGGATATCTTTTTAAAATAGTCACCTAGAGAAATTGTGTATTTCTAATAAAGTTATTGCTGCTACTTAAGGCATTTTGGTAACATCTTTAAACCTAACTTGGAAAAAAAAAACTAACTTGGAGATCATTTATTAAAATTATCATTACTTTATCTTAAACAGAATTCTTATTCTAGGGTGGATTTGATTCTTACCTCCATTTAGTTTCAGTGTAAAAGTTGGTTTATAAATAACAGCAGTCAGTAAATTAATTACCATTATTTCTAAGATACTACTGTATATGATTTTCAAATATCACAAAATGGTAGGTATGGGGCTAAACTTAAATCCAAAAAAGTGTTCTAATAATATTTCAAAATGAGAAAACTTTATACAAGAAATCTGGAGTCTTAGTTTTCCTTGGAAAATAATATCATGACTTAGTAGCACTGGGCAAGTGTTCCTCAGAGTAACTATTTGTGGGAGCGAAACAGAAGTTGACCCTTTTAGAAGAGGAAACTTATTTTATTTATTTATTTATTTTTTGTAGGAAATGTATTTTAACTTTAAGTCCCTGCTTACACAACATACAAAAATACAATGACATCAGGGGAACCTGACTCATTGTGGTTAAGCCAGTTAGCATACTTGGTAAAACTAAATTGGCATTTTGGGTGGCCAAATACTTCAACTTACCTCATTGCTAGCAGATTACCTATCCTTGCCTTGTTGGACTCTGGAGTAGCCTTAGAGTTTGTTTTGGCCAATAAAATGTAGATGGAAATAAAATGTATCACTTTAGGGCAGAAGCTTATGAACTAGCATGCAGTTCACACGTCTGGACATCTAGCTATGAGGCAATATCCCAAGCAGAAGTTTTTCCATCAGCCTTGACCCTGAAGAAAAGACAACGAAGAGCAGAATCACAGTCCATAACAAATGGGTAGCATGAGTGAGAAATAAATCTTTGTTATAACCCACTGTGATTTGGGGACCATCTGTTACTACTATCTGACTTAGACTATCCTGACAGACACCACATATTTACATTTCCTCCCTGGTCCCTATGAGCAAGGAAACTTGTGACCCATGCTTTTCCCATAAATTCCCTCCTAATTTTAGAATGCGAAAAATTGAAGCTCAACAGAGTTACATAATTTGTTCAGAGCTATTAAGTCTCTGCCAAAGTCTACACACTTACTTTCTTACTCTCCTGCATCTTAATATATGACTGGAATGTTTTGCCATTACTTCTCTCACGATGCTGTAAATAAATAAAATGGCTTTGAAATGTATTGTTTTCTAAATTATCTAATCAAAGTAGCTATCTTAATTTAACAAATTGCTAAATATGAATGGTTACATTTTTTTGAAAGATTTTTCTAGAAATCATATAAAATACTTATATAATTCTATATTTGGGTTTATTTTGTAAATATTCTTTCTGTACCACTTTAAAATAATTTTTAAATCATATTTATTTTTTTGCATACAACTCATTTATTAATATTTAAAAAAATCAAATGCAAAGTAAACTTGGCTTCTTTTTCCCACAAAAATGGGGAATACATCTCTGTAAAGAAATCTTAAATTATTTTTACACACCAGTTTGTTGCTGGGATTTATAGTTTTAGCAAAAAACAATTAATGGGGGGAAAAAGCAACTAATGGGCAATCACCAAAAAAAATAAAAAAATAAAACCCCCAAACAAAATAACATTAACTGATTAATATATAAAACTTTTTACAATATGGTAAGCAATAGTAACTGATCAGAAAACACCTTGCTTAAAGTAATTTTCATACAGATTTCTATTATAGTGCAGTTCCCTCCCAACAACTCTGAGCCCATTAAGAGCACTTCTATACATATACATACAAAGACATAACAAAACGATACAGTATTTATTGCAACAAATTAAAGTTTGTCATAATATATGTAACTTAAATACCCCCCTCCCCCAGTGATAAAGTGGCTTCTTATTCCTTAAACATAGAAATTCTGCTCTTCATTGTAGAAAGATGAAGTCCTCTCATTAAAAGGCACATTCTTATCTGCAAGAAAAAAAAAAAAAAAACAAAACTTTAAATGCTCATCCTGGAACAATTCAAAAACATTTCAAAATATTCCTAAAGTTATTTGTTTCTATAGTTTCTGTAAATACAATTCTTTACTTCTAAACCTTCAGAAATGAGGATATAACTGAAGCTACAGGCCTAAGTATACTCTGAAACAAAAAAATGTGTTTGTTTTATTTACTTGAAAAAGAGAGTGTGTGTATGGAAGCACCAGTAGGAGGGGCAGGGGGAGAGGGAGAAAGAATCCCAAGCAGATTCTGCATGAAGTCTCAACCCAGGGCTTGATCTCATGACCCCAGAGATTATGATCTGAGCTGAAATCAAGAGTCAGATGCCAAACCTACTGAGCTACCCAGATGCCACTCAAAAAATGTTTTTAATATTTATAATTCAGTTACAAAGTGTATCCATATAGAACTTTTCCATAAGGTTGCCTATTTTCTTATTTTACTGACTAGTTTTGGTAGTATGAGTTTACATTTTTATCACATACATCTTTTTTAGGCCTTAACTCTAATTCTACACCAGGATGTACTATTAACCTAAACCCTTTGCTTTCAAGAAATTTCTGCAGGTAAGACCATTACAACCAAAAAGTATTTGGAGTAAAAGAACAGCCAAGGGTGTGCAGATCTTACTAACTTAATAAGTCTTTCTTTACAATCACCATCAACATTTAAAAATTCATTGGAAATATGAATGACTAATACTCTATTCCAATTTATTATTTTATCTGAATCTTCAGTAAACAATCTAAAGCTAATGAACTTTTAATATATTTTAATTTGAGGATAAATTTAAGCTTTTTAACAAAGATACTGAAGGCTATTACAAAACAATGTAACCTAGTCCTCATTTTTACACAACTCTTATCCTTTGCATGCCTGAAACTCTTGATCATTTTGATAATGAATTTGTGGACTATGAAAAAAATCAGATGAATAAATCTTGCAGTTCCATTTAGCAGAGTAAAAACATAAGATGACAAGTACCTAATACCCAACTGTAGCATTAAATAGCCTTTTGAACTCAGGCTACTTATCAGAATCTAAGCAACATTTAATGATGACACTGTAAGATGTTTTGGGATCAAGAAGTACCTAGTACACGAAGAATCTCTTATTGTACAGTTTCAGAAATGCATTTTAAGATTCATAATCAATCCCAAAACATATGTGAACATGCATACCTATTATTTTGCATATATCCAAATCTTACTGAACCTCTTTTTATTTTCCAGACTGTACAACCTGTTTTCTCATTGCATTCCTTGAATTGGGATTGCCTCAGAATTCTATTCCAGATGTTTCATCCTGTCTAGCACTTACAATGTGCTATGTAGAACCACTATTCTCTAGTTTCTCTGGCACGACTACACTAAAGACCAAATAATAATGAAGATTTTTTTTTCTACATGCCCCATAGGAAATATTTTTAACCTATTAAGAATCAAACCCGTCATCTTCTAGCCTTAAACCTGGCCTTCCTCTCACCCTCTTAACACATACAATGGTAACACAACCTATCTAGTCACCATTCCACCAGTGGGGGCACCAAGGTCCTCTGACTACTCATGCCCTACATCCTATTGAGTATTACTGCCTTGTCAAATGTTTTCATTTCCTTCATCTCCTAAACTAGCTTTTGCTTCTGTTTTTTTATACTTCTCAACTGAATAACTGAAATAGCTTCAAAAAATTAGACCTTAGTTTCTTTCCAACTCATTTTTTTTTAATAAGGTCACCAAGATCCTTTTCCTAGAACATGTATCTCATAGTATCACTCCACACCAAAGCAGTTAATGATTTATGACCACTTTCACAAATAGTAAAACTGAAATCCTTAATATATATTTAGTTATATATATTTAACATGGCCTTCTTGATTTGGCCCCAGATCTGACTGATTTTCCATGGGGCTCACAACATGCCAAATGCACACACTCTCATACACGGCATCCCTTGACACATGCTTTCAGTTGAAAAGCAACTTTCTTTTTTTCATAAGGCTCTTATTAGAATAACTTATGAGTTTCGAAAATAGCTGCAACTTAAATTTATCACCTCCTCAGTGAACTCTCCTATTTTCCACCCCAAACACAGTTTCTCAGAGTTCTCACAGCAATTTAGAAATGTGAAGCCTTAGTATGTATGGCATCAGGAAAATAACCAAGAGTTTCCAGTATCTGGTGAGGCAAAGTTGTACAAGGCAGACTGAAGATTCAAGCTTAGACAAAGAATGAGGAATACATAATATAATCTGTGTGGACTTGTTAACAACAGGTTCTTTTGGCAGAAAGTGGCAGGACTAGAGGCTCAAGCCCCAAAACCAAGCAGAACAGTAAGCCTACCTTCTCGCAGGGATGACTAGATTTCACAGTTTCTAAAACACATTTTTCATATTTTAACATCTCTGACCCTGAGATGCATCTTCCAGCTGATGGAAGACATCTTAGAAATGTGATCAGACAGGTGGTGGTTACTACGTAGTTGCCACTGCCTATATGTGCACAAAGCTGATCAGGCTCTTTGTTCTTTGTCACTTCAATAGAATTACATGCATTGTTGGTATTATAGAGAATGAGTTTGATGTCTAGAATGCCTTTAAAAAGATAATAAAGATAATATCATGAATTATTACTGAAGCAAAAGTTACTGTATGTGTATAACAAATGAAAGTAGTAAACTATAGTTTATTACTGGGGAAGCAAATGTTTACTACCGAAATAATGGTGAGAATTCCATATTTTTGCCAAGAAACAACCGTGACTTTAAAAATGGGAAGATGTCCCAATATCCCAAGTAGACGAACCTTTGCTAATTTCTGTTCTGAAAAACTACTACAAACCAAGAAATACACCCGAAGGCAAGAGCAATTGCCGAATTCTTTAGAAGGGAGGAAGAAGGGATCCCTGGGTGGCGCAGCAGTTTAGCGCCTGCCTTTGGCCCAGGGCATGATCCTGGAGACCCAGGATCGAATCCCACATCGGGCTCCTGGTGCATGGAGCCTGCTTCTGCCTCTGCCTATGTCTCTGCCTCTCTCTCTCTCTCTGTGTGACTATCATGAATAAATAAATAAAATCTTTAAAAAAAAAAAAAAAGAAGGGAGGAAGAATGCAAAAGTATTAAGAAGCTGGTGTGCACAATTCCACTATTACACAAAAGTATCATATTATTTCATAATTAAATTGACTTCTTTCTTAGTGTTACAGCTTAAAATTAATAGTGTCTAGATTAAATGAATAATGGTAAAAATCTCCATAAAACTTATGTCACCTTAGCATGATGGGAGGTATAGAGAATCTTCAATTAATATCGTTTAAATTTTGAATTGACAATTTTTAAGCTGTAAATAACTACTGAAATTAACAAATTTAAGTTAGAATTTAAGATCTAAAAAACCCTAAGAACATTATATCCTTGCTAAACCACATTCTAGGGCAGTGACATGTAGAACAAGTACAGACAAATTTATTTCAAATATAGTCTCATGTGAAGACAGGTATCAGTAACCACAATGCCTTGATTTATTTAAAATAGGGTATGCAACCTATTGGTTTGTGTGTGCTACTAAATTTAATACATACATTTTTTTTCTAAAATGACATTCATTTAATCACCAAACATACACTGAACTATCATCTGCCAGGAAAATTGCTTGATACTGGGAAGATGGTGATGACAAAAAAAGAAAAAAAAAAGAAGAATTAACATATTTCTCTTATTACAGACCCACAAATACAGCATGGAAATTACTTAGAGGACAAAAGACAACCTCAGCCTAGAAAGTAAGCCTGAATTCTATTGCCATCTTGGTCCATTATTTACTGGATAAGTTATTCTTTGTAAGAATGGGATAAAACAGTTTCCAAGTGATTAAAGGATGTCTTTTTATGGAACTCTTCTGGATGAAAACAGAAACCATTACAAAGTTCAAGAGCTGGAATAACATTTAGAGATGCAGTCCAGTCACACTACTTGTCAGGTGACTTGGTAAGGAAATAGAAACAAGATTCAGGAGACTGAAGTAAGGATATTCAGTTATCAATGACAGAAGCTCAAGAAGCACTTGAGTCTACATAATCACCTTCTGGTGCTAATTTTACCACAGCACTTCTCAGTCATGAGGATTTAGTCACTGAAATCTAAAGATTAGATGCAATGTCAAATGCTCTATTGTTCTACCATTTACAGCTGTATTAAAAAAAAAAAGCTAATCTGTTTATGATGTTAAATTCCTATTACTGCTCTGCAAAACTGCTACTCATGAACAATAATTCCCTAGAACTCATACCTTTATTCAGTGACCGCCAAAGGCAAATATTTCTCTTACCAGTTGCCAAATTTAACTTTTAGAAAACATTCTGAATAGTCAGGGTGACACATTATAAGCTATCTATTCAACACTATCTCTTTTGGTTTGCTAATAAAAATATTGACTTTCTGTATGTTTTTGTTTTTGCTAGCAAAGAGGGGTAGAAGACTGTTAGAAAGAAGAGGATAGTTCTGAGAAATTTTGATTTCCTGATAAAGAGACTGATTTGAGGTGGGTTCTTGCTTCTTACCCTTTTGTTGCCTGAAACAGACGCGATGGCTAAAATAATAGCAGCCGTAGAAGCTGGATAAGATAAGCATGAGGAAAGGATGGAGAAAACTGAATAAATGTAAACATTATGATCAAACAGCTACTGAATTGATACCAAGAGTCAACTACTACAGACTTCTTATGACATGAGAAAAACTCCTGAATTCAGAAAAAAACTTCTGTAATTCTATGTTCTTTATTAAAATAGACAAAAGTAAAAATGGAAATAAAGCAGCCAATCTTAGAGAAATAGAGAGTACAAAAGTGGTTTCTGGGGATTGAGAGGAGAGTGAAATGGGGAGTTGCTACTCAATGGTTATAAAGTTTGAGTTATGCAAGATGAGTAAGTTCTAGAAATTTATTCTACGGCATTGTTAAGTATTCTTAACCCA